TCAACGACAAGTAGGGAAAGGATTTCCAGGTTCCTTAGTCATGCTCTGCAATGACCAACGATGAACGGCTTTTGATTGCGCCAAGTAATTGATACCATGAACCGATACCGATTGATCCTTATGGCTTCGAGGCTTCGTACAAGATGCCTCAAAGAAGTAACTGTTTAGTCACTTAAAATGTTTCCAAAGCTTTCTTCCCACCTCTTAACGATATTCTTGCAACAGGAATTAATCAGATAACACCGTACCGTATTGACATTTGGAACCAGTAAAGCCAGGTGCACATTCACAGATGTCTTCTGTTCCGTTCCGAAATGGAATACACGTACCGCCATTATGACACAGATCCGCTGTACAGTTTGCTGTAAATAGATTAAATTCACATCGGAAACCATTTTCATTACCCAAATAAAAGATGTAAGCCATTGAGGAGCGCTCATTTGATGGGACTCTAAGACGACAAAAGTATTTGCCATTTTTATGGGAGTAGTCAGACAAGTGGTAGAACTCCGATTTATGCCGATTGAAACACAAACTCGATTTGCTCCGGTGTCTGGAAGTAAATGCCATCTACTAATTCCACTTAAGCTCTCCGCGATGCCGACCAAATTTGTCTTCCTACCGTGTGAAAGTACTTTATAGGTGTGGGTACACACATGTACGCATGAGGGCATAAAAGAGGCCTCTAAAGACTCCATCCAGGGTGGCAACTCTGGATCCCTAGCCTTCACTAGCTCAGTCCCCTCATAAGCGCAAACTGTAACGGCAGCGCGATTACGCATAACTCGTGTGTCAATTGCCAGAGCAAATACACTCAAGTCTGACATCAGACATATTATGGCCCGTTCCAACAACAATACCGTTCCATTACACACCAAAAGGACGTGGAGGAATTGAGGTTCAAGAAAATTCTCAGTCAAATGTGTACAACGAAATATTCTGGAATTCTACCGTCAAGGCTCATCATATGTTTCATTTGCTCCAGCAATTTTTTTTTCAAATCTACTGATCGAGAGACCCCGCCACGAGGGTTGTTCGGAGTTTAAATATCCGAAATTCGGCAGTTTCAGCCCAATGTTTTGATGTTCTCAGTAGCAAAATCACAGTGGGTACATTTCCAAGATCCCTGTGCAATCTTTACGTCAGCTGGTCACTGGGATCCCTGCACATGTTTTTCTGAACGACCTTAGCGGAGCGCCAGATCATAACTCCTACCGCCCGTGAAGAGACCTCCCAAAGACACCGCGTCAACATTTACGACGTGCATGCATGACATACGACATTGGGTAGTAAGAATACGCACTTATAGGTCATCTCTATGTCTATGGACTGCCG